TTGGACATGGAGCCTTGCTCTGTCACCCAGGCTGGAGTGCTGTGGTGCAATCTCGGCTCACTGCAATCCCCACCTCCCAATTCAAGCGATTCTGCTGCCTCAGCCTCCCAAGCAGCTGGGATTATAAGTGCGCACCACCACGTCTGGCTAATTGTTGTGTTTTTAGTAGAGACGGGCTTCACCATGTTATCCAGGCTGACCTTGAACTCCTGGCCTCAGGTGATTCACCTGCCTCAGCCTCCCAAAGTGCTTGGATTACAGGCATGAGCCACTGCACCCGGCCTATTCAGTACATTTTATATATAATCTCATTAATATCAAGAGCTACTGTGGGAGACAGACAGTCATCATCTTCCCCATTTTACAGATGAGGAGACTGAGGCCTGGTGAGGTTAAGTGACTTGCCATGGTCCCCCAGCTGGTCACCCACAAGCTATCAGCTCCCCCTGATTACCGCTTCCTGTCCACCCCAGAAAAAAAAAAGCCATTGTCTCTTGTTTTGAACGGAAACAAGGTGCTAAATTTGTGCAGAGGTAAACATGATGCTGAAAAGGGGAAATGTCTGAAGACAATCACCGAGGGCCCTTTCTGGCCTTCAATTATTTTCAGCTGAAAAAGCCCCTAGTTCAAGATTGGAACTGTGCTCTGGGGACAACAGTCGTGGGTGGAACAGCCTAGAGCCGGGTGACCAGCCATCTGGAGAACAGAAGCCCCCGAGGAGGTTCTGAGGAAGGAAGGAAGGAAGGAAAAGACTATTTCTGGTATTTTCTCTGGCTTCTACTGTGCAAAGCACCCTGTAGACCTCATCTGTCTGTCACATTAGGCTGCTCAGCCACTCAAAACCCTACAGGGACTCCACTTGTACACCGACTCCTTTTCCGATTCCGTCCCCACTCACGTGCTCACCCTCATCCCCTACGCTCTTTCCCGTGCTCTCCCCATTCCAGCCACAGGGACTCCTTGCTGGTTTTCAGCCTCCTAGGGATGCTCCTGGCTCCAGGCCTTTGCACCGGCCATGCCCGCTGCCTGGGACGCTTCTCCCCAGATATTTGCCCAGCCCACGCCTTCAGCTCCTCTGGTCTTTACTCAGTGAGGCCTTTTCTGACCCTCATTGTTAAAAATAAAACTCCAGCCAGGTGCTGTGGCTCACGCCTGTAATCCAGCACTTTGGGAGGCTGAGGCAGGTGGATCACAAGATCAGGAGTTCGAGACCAGCCTGGCAAACATGGTGAAACCCCATCTATACTAAAATACCAAAAAAATAATTAGCTAGGCGTGGTAGCGGGCACCTGTAGTCCCAGCTACTTTGGAGGCCGAGGCAGGAGAATTGCTTGAACTTGGGAGATGGAGGTTGCAGTGAGCCAAGATTGCGCCACTGCAGTCCATCCTGGGTGACAGAGTGAGACTCTGTCTTAAAAAAATTAAAAAAGAAACTCCATCCACCTCGGCACTGTAAATTTCCAAATGATTCAGTGTCTCAAACATCAGCTCACTTTCATATTTCTTTGATTATCTGTCTGTCTTCCCCACTGGAATGTCAGTACCCAGAAGGCAGGAATTTTTGTCTATTTGACCCACAACCTTCCCCCCAGGCCTGGCACAGAGTAGGCAAGCGGTCAATATGTAGCAATGAATTCCTTAATCCAAGAACCTCATACTTTGGGGGGAAATATTTAAGGAGGCGGAGACTCAGGGGCGAAGGAATTTGCCAAGGCCCTTAGCAGGGAGCCATAGGGCAGATCGTGCAGTCAGACTCTGATCCTGTGGCCTTTTGCTGAGACCACTGGTTCTCAGACTTGAGGACTTCAGAGGCTGAGGACATTTCAGAACGAATTTAAGTGACCGTGCTGTCACTGTTTTTTTTTATCAGGGATGCTCATTCAAACAAATAACAGCAAAATGCCCACTGCGGGCCCCATAATATTTTGGCACCAAAAGATTTATCATTTTAATATTGAAAAAGTTCAGAGGACATAATTGCAGAATAAAAGACAGTTTTTTACACGGAATGTATTTAACCATGTTTTTTAAACAAAACAGCCCTTCCTTGTCCTTATTTTTCTCATCCCCTTGAAGTCTGATCTGAATGCCGATCCAGGCTGTGTGACCTTGTGTGAGCTATTTGTCCCCCTGCCTCAGCTTCCCTATATGTAAAATGGAGATAAGACAAGCCCATGGCTCAGCCTTGAGGAGTAAATGAGGTAGACGTAGGCTGAGGGAAGGACCCAGCATGTCTCTTGTTTATAAGAAATGCTCAGAAAGGACCCCTTCCCCAGGCTGGGGAAGGAGAAGGTATCTCTGGATGTTGGGAAGAGTAAGAACTGGCTCTCTACTTAGAGAAAAAAGCTGGGGAGCCCCAAGCTGGGAGTCCAACTGACCTCTTTTTTTTTTTTTGAGACAGGGCCTCACTCTTCTTCCTCAGGCTACAGTGCAGTGGTGTGATCTTGGCTCACTGCCTCCTCCACCTCCCGGGTTCAAGCCATCCTTCTGCCTCAGCCTCCTAAGAAGCTGGGACCACAGGACATGCCACCACACCCAGCTAATTACTGTATTTTTTGTAGAGACAGTCTCGCTATGTTGCCCAAGCTGGTCTCGATCTCCTGGGCTCAAGCGATCCTCTGACCTTGGCCTCCCAAAGTGCTGGGATTATAGGCACAAGCCATTGTTAGCAGCCTCAGCAGGCCTCTTACGGGGGGCTATGAAATCTGCCCCCAGCAGAAGAGATTGGGGTCCTCTGTGGAAGGGTTGCAGGGAATTAAGACGCTGGGGTGGAAAGGAGGAGGAGGGGCCTCAGACAGGGCCTGACTTCTGTGCCTTGTCTCTGCCCCACCCATGGGCTGAATGAGGGGCTGTGACTGTTTGAGGGTCTTACCTCTGCTCTTTGCCTCCTAGGCTGGGCCCCATCTCAGGCCCCCGGGCTTTCCCCAAACTGGTGCGGATCCTCATGGCCTTTTCCTCCCTGCAGCATCTGGAGTGAGTATAGACTCTGGGACCCCTTCCCCTCAACACCTAGGTGCAATTCTGCCATCATAGCTCGCTGCAGCCTCGAGTTTCTGGGCTCATGTGGTCCTCCTGCCTCAGCGTCCTGAGGATCTGGGACCCCAGGTGTGTGCTACAGAGCCCAGCAACCTCTGCGATTTGACAGCCCCAGACCCTGCCCCCAAGGCATGTGCAGAGAGAAAAGCCCTCTGTGTGTCCCGTTTTTGCTCTGTTCTGCCTACTGCATCTTCAATGTGGCTGTCACACAAGTGATGAGATGACTCCACTGCAGAGAAGAAACAGCAGACGGGAATCCCCAATAATAAAAAAAACTGTAGATCCTTTTGTGACCTTTGAAACTCTTTCGCAGCCTCATTTACTGCTCTCAGCAATTCAGCTGGGGAGGGGTTGGGGAGCGTGATCCTACTTGACAATGGAGGTTAAGGACGTTGTGCAGCCTCAGGGGATTCCCAAGAAGCTAAACGGACTGGTTGGAGCCTCCAGGTGATGAAGTCCGGGTCTGAAAAGCCCAGGAGTTGCTGGCTGCCTATGGCATATCTAGAGCTGGGGAGGTGGGAAGGGAAGGTGCCAGGGCTGAGGAGGCCCACTGGGATGGGAAGGGTCCAGGGACGCCCTGGACGCTAGCTGATGGCCCCCATCTGATTCCACCTGCAGCCTGGATGCGCTGAGCGAGAACAAGATCGGGGACGAGGGTGTCTTGCAGCTCTCAGCCACCTTCCCCCAGCTGAAGTCCCTGGAGACCCTCAAGTGAGTGGACTGGGCCTGCCCTTCCTGCTGAATCTGGGCCCCAAAGTCCAGCTGACTTTTTAAAAAATAATTTAAAGATTTTTTTGAGACAAGGGCTTACTCTGTCACACAAGCTGGAGTGTGGTGCTATGATCAGAGCTGTACAGCCTAGAACTCGTGGCCTCAAGGAATCCTCTGGTCTCAGCTTCCCAAAGTGCTGGGATTATAGGTGTGACCTACCATGCCCAGCCCCAGAGGACATTTTAATTCTTCCATTTAATTATTCATTTATTCATTCACCCATTGAGTCAGCTAATGTTTAGTGACAGAAAATTATACTGGGGGTGAAATAGGAGAGATAGATTAGGATTTGTCAATAAAGCATTATTATCAAAACAGTCAACTTTTTTTTGAGATGGAGTCTCACTCTGTCACCAGGCTGGAGTGCAATGGTACAATCTCAGCTCACTGCAACCTCCACCTCCCAGGCTCAAGCGATTCTTCTGCCTCAGCCTCCTGAGTAGCTGGGACTACAGGCACATGCCACCACACCCAGCTAATTTTTGTCCTTTTAGTAGAGATGAGGTTCAACATGTTGGCCAGGATGGTCTCAATCTCTTGACTTTGCAATCTGCCCGTCTCGGCCTCCCCAAGTGCTGGGATTGCAGGCATGAGCCAATGCGCCCGTCTAGTAAGGACTTTTTAAAAACTGTCCTGGGCTCTGGGAAGTTGGAAATGGATAAGATACAGAAGGATCAATGTGAATTTTTTCTTTTTCTAAGACAAGTTCTCACTCTGTCACCCAGGGTAGAGTGCAGCAGTGTAATCATGGCTCACTGCAGCCTCAACCTCCTCGGCTCCAGCTATCCTTCTGAGTAGCTGGGACAGTTGCATGGCACCACGTCCCCTAATTTGTATATTTTTTTGTAGAGACGGGGTTTCGCCATGTTGCCCAGGCTAGTCTTGAGCTTCTGAGCTCAAGCCATCCTCCTACCTCTGCCTCCCAAAACACTGGGATTATTGGCATGAGTCAGCATGCCTGGTTCAATGTGATTTTTTTTTTTTTTTTTTTTGAGACAGAGTCTTGCTCTGTAGCCCAGGCTGAAGTGCAGCGGAGTGATCTCAGTTCATTGCAACCTTCACCTCCTGGTTTCAAGCAATTCTCCCACCTCAGCCTCCCCAGTAGCTGGGACTACAGGCATGTGCCACCACACCTGGCTAAGTTTTTAGTAGAGATGGGGTTTCACCACATTGGCCAGGCTGGTCTTGAACTCCTCACCTCAAGTGATCTGCCTGCTTCAGCCTCCCAAAGTGCTGAGATTATAGGCATGAGCCACCATGCGCAGCTGAACGTGATTTTTTACTTGACTTAGAGAATATCAAAATCTTCCCACACTCCCCCTCACAACCAAGGTCTTGTAATGGCAAAGAATTTACGGGAGTTGACTTAGCAATTTCCCTTGATTGTAGGGCTCTGGGACTTCTCCAGTAATTTCTAGTGTCCTAGGTAACACTGTAAGCTAGACTTCTCCTCTTAGTCCTTCCCTCCCTCCTTTTCTCACCTGCCATCTTAAGTGTTTATTGAGCACCTACTATGTGCCTGGCAGTGCTCTAGGCACAAGGATACAGTAATGAGCAAAACAGATACGGCCCCGCTCCATGTGAAGGCCACAACCCAGCAGAAATGATGACAGCCATTAAACAAATAACACCAACACTTATTTCATTACAGTGCTGAAAAGTGGTGCAGAGGGAAAAGTGTGGATGCTGTAAAAATCACAGGACAGGCTAGGTATGGTGGCTCACCCCTGTAATCCCAGCACTTTGGAAGGTCAAGGCAGGTGAATCACGAGGTCAAGAGATCGAGACCATCCTGGCCAACGTGGTGAAACCCCATCTCTACTAAAAAATACAAAAATTGGCTGGGTGTGATGGTGCATGCCTGTCGTCCCAGCTACTCGGGATGCTGAGGCAGGAGAATTGCTTGAACCCAGGAGGCAGAGGTTGCAGTGAGCAGAGATCGTGCCATTGCACACCAGCCTGGCACCTGGCGACAGAACGAGACTGTCTCAGAAAAAAAAAAATCACAGGACAGGTGGAGGCAGGAGGATGGGCTCTCTCTCCCATCCATGTCCTCACCTCCGCCCCCAACTTGGCCACAGGACCTAACAGTATTGTCTTATTTACTGAGAGGTAGTTTAAGTCTGTCGACAGTGCCCTTCACAGCTTATGACCTAGAACTCTCCTGGAGGTGGAAGGGAGGCGTGCAGGTTTGGTCCTGAGCCCTTCCCCTCACTGTCTCCTGCAGCTTATCCCAGAACAGCATCACTGACGTGGGTGCCTGCAAACTCGCGGAGGCCCTACCTTCCCTCGCGGCATCCCTGCTCAGGCTAAGGTGAGTGGGGCCCCAGCTACTGGTCAGGTGCTGAGCTGGGGGGCTGAGGAGGGCAGGGAACCTGCCTCCTGCTGGCTGCAGGGGACACCGAGACCCTAGAAGCAATCACCACAACCCCGAACAAAAGGACTAGCGAGATCTGGGGAAAGAAGCTCTGGGCAAGTTGCTTATTCATTCCTAGCCTCTATTTTCACATCTATAAAATGGGAACCATTCCAACGGTCTATGTAAGTACTTGGCACAATGCCAGGTTCTGTTGTGCAATAAATATTGGTCCTTTTCCCCCAGGGATGGCAGGACTAGGCCTTTTCTGGAATCTAGGGACGGTAACTTCTGGAAGGCTGACAACACAGGGGCAGTCTTGGCTGGCCTTGTGCTGGTCAGGGCTTTCACTGCCACCTTCTGGTAGGTCTTGGCATAGCACCTCTTGCTTTTGAGTGACCCAGCCAGGCCCTGGTGTGGTCCTGGAGATAAAGAGAGGGCTGAGCTTGGACCTGAGCACCAGCCATTCAATTCAGCATTACCAGCCCTTCTCAATCGCCAGGCTGGGAAAAATTTCCCTTCTCTTCCCCAGAGCTCATCACTTACTGAGGACAGCCAGAGTCAGATTCCCAGGAAACATGGCATTTGGTCCCTATTTATTTATTTATTTATTTAATTTGTTTTTTGAGATGGAGTCTTGCTCTGTTACCGAGGCTGGAGTAAACTGGTGTGATCTCAACTGACTGCAACCTCTGCCCACCAGGTCCAAGCGATTCTCTTGCCTCACTGGGATTATAGGCGCCCACCACCACAACCCCCCCCTAATTTTTGCATTTTTAGTGGAGGCTGGGTTTCGCCATGTTGGCCAGGCTGGTCTGGAATTCCTGACCTCAGGTGATCCACCTGCCTCGGCCTCCCAAAGTGCTAGGATTACAGGTGTGAGTCACTGTGCCCAGCCTCCTTATTTATTTGTTTGTTTGTTTAGAGATGGGGGTCTTGCCCAGGTTGGACTGCAGTGGTGCAATGACAGCTTACTGCAGCACTGCCTGGACTCAAGCAAACCTCCCACCTCAGCCTCCTAAGTAGCTGGGTCCTCTACCTTCCAGAGCCTCGTTAGTTTCCTTCCCAGCACGAATCACTGTTTTACAATATTTTATTTATGTAGGTGCTTACTTCTTGCTGTGCAAAGAAACTCAAATGCAAAAATAGAATCTGTCTGCTTCATAGTTGTACTAGGAACTAGAGATACAACTGTGAACCAGAGAGATTTGGTTCTTGCTTTGGGGTTTCTTGGCGTAGTAAGAATTAAGTACATATATAAAGAAAAGATTGTAAAACAGTGAGTCACGCTGAGAAGGAAATTAACAAGGCCCAGGAGGGTACAGGACCTCTGGGGAGGTGATTCTTTTATAGGAAGCTCTAGGGGAAAAGGACTCTATGAAGAAAGAACAGCAGACGCAAAGGGCTTAAGTGGGAAAAGGGGCTGGGGTTTGAGGGTCAGAAGGGCCACTGTGGCTGTGTGGAGTGAATGAGGGACAGAGGGTGGGGGATGGTGGAGGTAGGGGAGGTCAGGGGCCTCCAGATCACACAGGGAGGCCCTTGTGGGTCACAGGAGGCATTTGCAGTTTTTTTCAGTGTGAATGGAAAAGTAGGTGGACCTATGAAGCTGTGCAGGTGATACCTGATCTGATTTACACCTTTTCCTTTTTTTCTTTTCTTTTTTTGAGACCAAGTCTCACTCTATCACCCAGGCTGAGGTTCAGTGGTACAATCTCTGCTCACTGCAACCTCCACCTCCTGGGTTCAAGTGATTCTCATGCCTCAGCCTCCTGAGTAGCTGGGATTACAGGCACCTGCCACCACACCCGCCTATTTTTGTGTATTCAGTAGGGACAGGGTTTCACCATGTGGCCCAGACTGGTCTTGAAATCCTGGGTCTAAGCGATCCACTCGCCTTAGCCTCCCAAAGTGCTGGGATTACGGGTGTGGGCCACCATGCCCAGCCTGATTGACACTTTAAGAGACATCATAATTTCATGGAATATAAGATGCCATCCATGTAAGACCCCAATATGAGACCAAAATGCCGCTGTTTAAACTGTGACACACTGTTGGTTATAAGACACATCCTGATCTCGATGATATTCAGATGGTGACAGATGTGTCTTGGCATCAATGAAATATGGTCAGATTACTCTTCCCATGGGATGGAGGAAGGGTCTTCAGGGTTCAGAGATCACAAAACCCCCATTAGTTTCTGCACTGGTACTGGCAGACCTGTGATACGAGTTGATTTAGCCTGAATCCACTTAGCAGCGGTGTAGACCTGCAGCTTTTTTTTTTTTTTTTTTTTTTTNTTTTACCCTTGTTGCCCAGGCTGGAGTGCAATGGCATGATCTTGGCTACTGCAACCTCTACCTCCCAGGTTCAAGCAATTCTCCTGCCTCAGCCTCCCGAGTAGCTGGGATTACAGGCATGCACCACCATGCCTGGCTGATCTTGTATTTTTAGTAGAAACGGGTTATGCCATGTTGGTCAGGCTGGTTTCGAACTCCTGACCTTAGGTGATCCGCCCACCCCAGCCTCCCAAAGTGCTGGGATTACAGGCGTGAGTCACCAGACCTGCTGCTTTGATGTGCAGCCCTGCAAGGCAACTCTGAGACTGAGTCACGGCAAAGTCATGGCCCTGAAATCATAGCCGCAGCAGCACCTGTCCTGTTAAAAGGCTGCTTGGTGTCAAGTAAACAGCAGAAGTTGGCATCAGTGACATTCATCATGCTATTTTCACTGCTACTAATGCTGGCTGTGAGTCTGCCGCAGAAACTCGAGCTGGCCCAGTGACTGGCTTTTTCTCTTCCCCCTCTCAGTGCTGGCCACGCCCTCTATGTTAACTCATGTAACCCTCACCAATGTTCCTGTGAAGTAGTCAGAACCAGAGCTAACATTTAGTTCATTCTAGGAACCAAGGCATATTCTAAGTGTTATAACAGCATTGATTCATTTACTTCTCCCCACAATGACTCAATCATGCCCATTTCACAGATGCACAAACTGAGTCTCAGAATAATTGAGTCACTTGCCCAAGGTCACATAAGCAGTAAGAGGCATAGCTGGGATTTGAACTTGGGAAGTTGTTCTCCTGGGACTTTCCACACAGTCAGGCAGGAAATGACTTCCTTTTAGTCCTGCTGTTTTCCTGGGCTCACTGTGTGACCACAGAGAAATGGCCTCAACTCTCTGGCCCTTGGTTTGTCTGTCTTTAAAATGGGACAGTAATCCCAGTTGGCGATGATTTCCACGAGGCTGATCCTCAGGCTGCAGGGGACACTGAGACCCTAGAAGCAATCACCACAGCCCTGAACAAGAGAATTAGCAGGATCTGGGGAAAGAAGCTCTGGGCAAGTCACTTGTTCATTCCTAGCCTCTATTTTCATATCTGGAAAATGGGAACCATCCCAATGGTCTAAGTAAGTACCTGGCACAATGCCAGGCTCTGTTGGGCAATCAGTATTGGTTCCCTTCCCCCAGGGGTGGCAGGACCAGGCCTTTTCTGGAATCTAGGGGCGGTGGCTTCTGGAAGGCTGACCATGCACGGGCCTCCAATCCCTTCCCCTGGCCTCTGTTTCTGACAGCTTGTATAATAACTGCATCTGCGACGTGGGTGCCGAGAGCCTGGCTCGTGTGCTTCCCGACATGGTGTCCCTCCGGGTGATGGAGTGAGTGTGGGAGCCTAGGCGGTGGGTAGCTCAGCCCGGCGTGGGACACACGGAGGTTCCCTTCCTGGTGTCATGGAAGGGCTGGGTGTGGGGGTGGCCTTGGTCTGGAGCTGGGGAGTCCCAAGGGCCAGGCATCAAGGTGAGTTTCTCTCGCCAGCGTCCAGTACAACAAGTTCACGGCTGCTGGGGCCCAGCAGCTCGCCGCCAGCCTTCGGAAGTGCCCTCACGTGGAGACGCTGGCGTAAGTCCAGGCAACCTTGGTGGGTGGATATCACCTTGGTCCCCAGTTATGTGGCCCAAAGTGACCCCAGAGCTCAAATCACGCTCTTACCCTCACCAGTCTGCAACCCTGGGTGAGCAGACACTTCACCCTCTGGCCTCAGTGTCTTAATCTGTAAAGTGGGGATGGTAATAACATCCACCCCAAGAGATTGTGTGAGGCTTAAGCCAATCAAGCCCTACAAAGCTCTTAGAACATCAGTACCTGGCACACAGAAATGCTCAATAAATGCTATGGTAGGCTGAACCATGTGAAATTGCGGACATCCACCCAGTTTTGACCTGTAAAGTTGGCAATTTCATATAGTTCAAGTTTATCTTTTATTAAGTCATGATATCCAACACTGGTTACTTTATACTCTTTCAAAGCAATTTTATCTCCATAATCGCTCACATCTTCTAAGACGCACAGGAGAATAAAGCACAGAGCAGTTAACTAACCTTTCTGAGGTCACACAGCAAGTCAGCTGCAGAACCAGAAAGGAATCTCAGGCCTCCTAGGCTTCTACTTTTCCCCATGACCCAAACTTTTGTCCTGTATCCTGCCAGGGGAAAAGTCCCCAAGATTCTAGGCTTGATGGAAGGAGGGATTTGGGGTCAGCTGTCACTGGTGACCCAGGCCGCCCTCTCTCCCCTAACCTGGCTCTGTGTCCCATCTCCCCTTGCAGGATGTGGACGCCCACCATCCCATTCAGTGTCCAGGAACACCTACAGCAGCAGGACTCACGAATCAGCTTGAGATGATCCCAGCTGTGCTCTGGACAGGGTAACCAGGCGGGCTTGGGAGGGGAGAACTGCACGGGGTCAGGGGCAGTGTCCTTGTGAAAGTGGCATTCATAAAACGTGGGCGGGACACAGGTGGGGCTGGGACACCACCCTTGGATGCTCACATCATCAGGGACATCCCCCCATCTCCACCCTGGGCTTGGTGGAGCTGTCCTCCAGGCTTCGCGTGCTTGGTCCCTGTGGTCAGTCTTAGAGACCAGGGGACAGGGAAATTGGCCATCCACATCCTGCAGCCTCAGCACTTGGAAGAGCTTCTTTTGGGGACTCCAAGCCTTCCCAGCTGTTGTTTTGGCTTGGTGGCTGTGCTGATGCTCTGGGTTTGTCTTCTTTGCTTGACAAGTGTCCTGGCCCTTGCATCGCTGTCCCCGACCCGTGCTCCCCGCATGGTGCTGCACATCCCCTCCATTCCCATTGCCCCTCCCGTCCCCCATCTTGATAGCATCCTTCCCAGGTGTCAAGCTGCCTCTCCTAAAGTGTCCTGGCTGAGCCCCCTCTCCTGTCTTCTCCCCCTACAGCATGTTCTCTGAGGACACCAACTGCGCTGGACCTTGAACTGGGTACTTGTGGACACAGCTCTTCTCCAGGCTGTATCCCATGAGCCTCAGCATCCTGGCACCCGGACCCTGCTGGTTCAGTTTGGCCCCTGCCAGCTGCAGAATGAACCACGTCTTGCTCTGCTGACAGACACAGGCCCGGCTCCAGGCTCCTTTAGCACCCAGCTGGGTGAATGCCTGGTGGCAGCTGCAGTCCACCCAGGAGCCTTGAGGCCCTCCCAGCAGGATACTGTGGACAGCCACGGCCAAGCCAGAGGGAGTGACGGAGGCAGCCCCATTCTGCCTGCCCAGGCACCTGCCACCCTGGGAAGAAAGTACTTTTTTTTGTTCGAGACAGTCCCAGGCTGGAGTGCAGTGGAGCAATCTGGGCTCACTGCAACCCCCACCTCCTGGGTTCAAGCAATTCTCCTGCCTCAACCTTCAGGGTAGCTGAGATTACAGGCACCCACCACCATGCCCGGATAATTTTTGGTATTTTTAGTAGAGACAGGGTTTTGTCATGTTGGCCAGGCTGGTCTCGAACTCTTGGCCTCAGGTGATCTGCCCACTGCAGCCTCACAAAGTGGTGGGATTACAGGCATGAGCCACCACATCCGGCCATAGAGAAAGTACTTCTCCACCCTGCTCTCTGATCCAGACACCGTGACAGGGCATACTGGATGCTCAGAAGACACTGACGGGCAACCCCCAGCGTGCTAATTCCCCAGATCGCAACAGGCTGGGCTTCTGTGGCAGCTTCTGTGGCTCTGCCGGACTCTATGCACTGACTTTTTTGGCCAAGGCCAAAGCTAGGCCTGGCCAGATGCACTGGTCCTTAGCAGGGAAACAGCTAATGGGACACTAATAAGGGCGGTGAGAGGAGAACAGATTGGAAGCACAGCTTCATTTCCTGCGTCTTTTTTCACTACATTATAAATGTCTCTTTAATGTCACAGGCAGTTCCAGGGTTTGAGTTCCTACCTTGTTACCATTTTGGGGTACCCACCGCTCTGGTTATCTGATACATAACAAGCCATTCCAAAACATAGTGGCTTAAAACAACACACGTTTATTCTGCTCACACATCTGTCATTTGAGCAGGACTCAGTGGGGACAGCACCTTCTGTCCTACTCTGTGTCAGCTGGGGCAGCTTGAGGGCTGGGCTGGGGTCACCTGAAGATTCGTTCCCATGTACGTCTGGCAGGCAATGCTGGCTGTTGGCTGGGGGGCCCTCAGTTCCACTAAGGAACAGTTGGCTGGGACCCCTCCATGTGGGCTAGTTGGGCTTCCTCACAGCATGGTAGCTAGGTTGGAGGATGTCCCAAAAAGAGAAAGAAAAAGAGAGAGGAGGAGATAGCGAGAGACCACTTTTCATAACCTAGCCTTAGGAGTCACACAGCATTACTTGACATAGAGATTCTTTTTTTTTTCTTTTCAGAGACATGATCTCGCTCTATCACCCAGTCTGGAATGCAGTGGTACAGTCATGGCTCACTGCAGCCTCAACTTCTTGGACTCATGTGATCCTCACAACTCTGTATCAGCCTCCTGAATAACTGGGACTACAGGTGTGAGCCACTAAGCCCAGCTAATTTTTATTTTTATTTTTGTAGAGCCAGGGTCTTGCTATGTTGCCCAGGCAGGTCTTAAATTCCTGGCCTCAAGTGATTCTCCTGCCTCAGCCTCCCAAAGTGCTAGGATTACAGGTGTGAGCCACAGCAGCCAGCCCCGTTCTGCCATATTTTTTTGGCCAGTGTGACAAGGGCTGCTACTCTAATACCAATGCTCCTTTCATGCACATGTGCACGCGTGCACACACACACACACACACACCAGAGCCCACCTTGGCTCAAGTCATCTTTTCTGAAAGGATTTTCTTTGTGGCTTCCTAAAATTCATTGTTTGGGGATCAGAAAGGTTGAAGCACCAAGAGTTGTGTCAAGGGGAATTGTTTGCCTGTCCTGGGAGTGAGCTGGTTTTTGGAGATGGAGTCCCACCTCGGGCTGCAGTGAGCCTGAAAGGGACTTCACAGCTCCGCTTTCTACCCAGCGAGCCGCCAGGATGACTGTTGCTTTTTATTCCGGCATCACCTGCTCAGACGCTAATTCAAGATAGCTTGGCTTACTCCTCGTGGCAGTGGGAGCTGCCTGTTCAGCTGCAGCTCACCAGCCCCAGTGCCCACAGGATCAGCCTGGTTCCCAAGCTCTGCTGCTCTCCCCACCCAGCGAGAGTCGGGTGTCCAGAGGGTCTGAGGGATCCAGACCCGGCTACGTGGTTGACAATTTTTGTAGAGAGGTAAGCACCTCCAGCCTGGACCCGGCTGCAAAGGGTATCAGGTGCTGTCACCCAGGTCCAGGTTGTAAATAGCTCAGGTGTCACCCCGCAGGGGAATCCCTGCACTTGTAGACTCTACAGAGGCCATGGGCTTCCTGTGTGTGCAGCCACAGGAGTGAGCACTGAGGTGCGCTCTGATTGTCAGCTGTGCCATGTCCCAGGTTTTTGGTCTGAACCACTCCCTTTGGGCTGTGTGGAGATGATGCAATGAGGTGGAGTCTGCACTTATTCATAGCAACAATTCGTGTGTGATGGCTACTGTTTATTATTTTATTTTATTGCGATGGAGTTTCACTCTTGTTGCCCAGGCTGGAGTGCAGTGGCATGATCTCAGCTCACTGCAACCTCTGCCTCCTGGGTTCAAGTGATTCTCACATCTCAGCCTCCCGAGTCGCTGGGATTACAGGGGGGCACCACCACGCCTGGCTAATTTTTGTATTATTAGTAGAGATGGAGGTTTGCCATGTTGGCCAGGCTGGTCTCAAACTCCTGCCCTCAGGTGATCCGCCCATCTTGGCCTCCCAAAATGTTGGGATTACAGGTGTGAGCCTCCGCGCCCAGCTGCTACTGTTTATTTAATGAGCTGATAGCACTTACCACAGTACAAGGGAAATTGGAAACACTCAGTAAGCATTAGCAATTGTGATGACTGCGTGCCAGGCACCGTGCTAAACTCCTGCTCGAGAGGGATGATAATCTAGGGGCAAGCGGCAGAGACTCTACAACGAGGTTGCCTGGGCTCAACGCTCAGCTTACCACTCACATTTGCAAGCTGGTTCTCTGTGCCTCAGTCTCCTCATTTGTAAAATGGGCATAATCATGGTACCTTCTTTATGGGATTATGTGAAGGTGTGGTGAGCTAAAACGTTGAGAACTGGAGCTCAATTACATGTTGGCTGTCATTATTACACACATCTGTGTTTCGTTCTTGCCTCTGCCTGGAATGTTCCTCCCAGGTCTCTGTATGGCCGACTTCTCACCCTCCAGGACTTACCCCACTCTGACCCATCACTAGTTTATCTGTTTCACTTATTTAGGTATCGTCTGCTCTTGTCCTGGGACATGAGCTCCAGGAGGGTGAGAAACAGCTTGCTTTGTACACTGCTGTGCCCTCTGCACCCAGCAAGGCACCTGTGTATAATAGGTGCTCAGTACACATAGAATGAACAAATACTCCTCACCTAACTTTGCTTTATTAATTCTACAAATATGTACTGAGTGCAGTCGTGAATAAGATGTTCCTGCCCTGGTGAGTCTTATATTTTAGCAAATTAGAAAATCTCTTTGGACAGGGCTGCCAGGTGAGGTTGGCCAGTCTGGACACTGCACAAAGGCACCTGGACGAGGGGGGACATGGGGGCTGCAAAACAGTCTGGGTTCTGCTTGCCAAGCTGGGAGTCCTGGTGTGGAGCCTTTTAACCCAGAGGGGCACCTTTTTGTAGTTAACACAAAGTCATCATAAGATATGAATAAATTACTGTCCCATGTCACAGATCTAAGTGATACTTAGAGTCACACTCCTATAAAGGAATGCACTTCTGACTTCTTAGGAGGACCTCTCTGCAGGCACAGGCACGGTGTGCTGGAAGTGCCCCCTGAGCCCCGTATTTCACGTGGTGAAGCACTGCTCAGAGGAATCAGGCATGATGGTGAAATCCATGTCCAGTGGCTTTTAAATTTGCGTACCTTCCAAAGGCTCACTTTTCCTCTTACACCTCTCTCTCCATGCACGCCTCCCTCTTCACGCTCACTTTTTGTTTTTTTTTTTTTCTTTTCTTTTTTTGAGTCGGAGTTTCGCTCTTGTTGCCCAGGCTGGAGTGCAATGGCGCGATCTCGGCTCACCGCAACCTCCGCCTCCTGGGTTCAGGCAATTCTCCTGCCTCAGCCTCCTGAGTAGCTGGGATTACAGGCATGCGCCACCATGCCCAGCTAATTTTTTGTATTTTTAGTAGAGACGGGGTTCCACCATGTTGACCAGGATGGTCTCGATCTCTTGACCTGGTGATCCACCCGCCTCGGCCTCCCAAAGTGCTGGGATTACAGGCGTGAGCCACCGCGCCCGGCTCATGCTCACTTTTTCCTTGGGCCTCTCAAATGTCTTCTTTTCAGATTTTGTAGCTTTTCCCTTTTCTTTATTTTTTGAGATGGAGTCTCGCTCTGTCACATAAGCTGGAGTGCAATGGCGCAACTTCCGCTCACCGCAACCTCTGCCTCCCATGTTCAAGCTACTCTCCTGCCTCAGCCTCCTGAGCAGCTGGGATTACCGGCCCCTGCCACCATGCTCAGCTAATTTTGTATTTTTAGTAGAAACGGGGTTTCACCATGTTAGCCAGGCTGGTCTCGAACTCCCGACCTCAGGTGTTCCACCCGCCTTGGCCTCCCAGAGTGTGGGATTACAAGGGTGAGCCACCATGCCCGGCTCGCTTCTTTATTTAGAATCACATGACGGCAAGTGGTGCTATAATTGTCTTCCCCCAGAGTTCCAGGGTGCCTGTACTCCCCCACACCTCAGTCTCCTCACCTGTAGAATGGGACTAATCATTTGTAACCTGCTTCACGTGGTGTGTATGTGAAGGTGCTTTGAAAATCAAGTACTCTGCAAACTCGAGAGAACTACTGCTAGTATTCCACCGAACTGAAAGCTGACCCAATTCCACTCATTCATTTAGTCCTTCCTTTTTTTTTTGTGAGACAGAGTCTTGCTCTGTTGCCCAGGCTAGAGTACAGTGGTGTGATCTCCGATTATTGCAATCTCTGCCTCCCCGGTTCAAGCAATTCTGCCTCAGCCTCCTGAGTAGCTGGGAGTACAGGTGTGTGCCACCACACCTGGCTAATTTTTTGTATTTTTAGTAGAGATGGGTTTTCGCCATATTGGCCAGGCTGGTCTCAAACTCTTGACCTCAAGTGATCTGCCTACTTCGGCCTCCCAAAGTGCTGGAATTACAGGTGTGAGCCACCATGCCAAGCCCTTCCCTGCTATCTTTAATGAAGGTCTACCATGTGCCTGGCACAGGGGATACCCGCTCCCACTTCCACGGGATTCAGGCCCTGTTTCCAGCTTGGCCTTCAGGCTTTTCCCACCACACCCCAAATGCTGTCCCTGGCTTGAGGACCGGGGCAGAGGGCCAGCCTGGGACTCTGACGTCAGCCCAGCTGGGGCAGCCTCTCCGAACCCTGCAGGATCTCCAACTTGGGAGGCCCTGATCTTCTGCTGTTTGTCAATCACACGGTTCTGCCTAAAACTCCTTTCCCGAATCTCAAAGTTTAAAAAAAAAAAAAAAAAAGGCAGGGCCCCAGGGGTTGGAGTTGCATACATTTTTGTTTAATCCAAAGAAGTCAGCCTCCTAAGTATTGCTTAAACAGGTTTATCAGAATTAAGTAGGCACAACACTCATGCTTTCAGAAAAGCATTTCCAGCCAGGGGAGTCACGTGGCACTCCCCAGCATGAGGAACTTGTTTTGCCAACTTGCTGAAGAACGAGTAACCTGAAATGAAGAAGCGAGAATCCCACCCTCAGCACCCCCCCGACAGCTTCCTCGGCTTCTTTTTCTTCTGAGTCACTCCCTGAAACAGTCTGCATCTAAGACCAGCCTTGGGCTAAACCCAGCTGGCCTGAA